CACGGACGACGACGAACAATCACTCATATGATAGGCTCCGCTCGACAAAGTCGACAGCGGAGCTAAAAAGGGACTTGAGTATCAGAAGGGGCTACTAAAGAAGTGGATAAAATGTGGTGAAGAAAACCGAGAGGAAGGCAAGAACTAAGTGGAATGAGAATGTGGAGAGACCAATGCTGAGTCATAGCTCAAAGATGACATAGAACAATATTATGTGTTGTTACACATTGCTGGAAAGCTACGACGACAATTATGATTATCCTCATCACTGATGAAAATTGAAAAATACTAAAACCATTCAGGGTAGCAGTTTCAGAGAAGTGAAAAACATCAATTTTAACCAAAAATGATCCAATATATTCACCAAAAACACAAGATTTTAGATATTGACATGAAATGAACATATCCGAAAGAAAACCACCCAAGGTACACCAAAGATCACTGCACTCTGATTACTGGTTTTCAAGAAGAAGATGACAATGTAATTATTGAGGGATGACTGATATTCAGTAATATGAACAGCACGCTGTGTCATCTTTAAAGACAATGTTGCTAAAAAGCTGACTAACCTCAGAACTACCATAGTACTTTTATGTGTACATGGTTAAACAGACTACAGTTATATTGTGTATATAAAGACTCTACACTCACCTCTCCATATCCATGTAGAGAATACCTCGATGTAAATAAGCCAAGACATTGTCTTGAGAATCATCAATTAAAATAGAAACACTCAAATCTTGTAAAGATTTCTTGGGATGTGCTCTGTAAGGATATAAATCAGTAATATGTGTAATATCAGTAATATCAGTGGCAATCATAAAGTAGTGATAACTGCAATTGTTATTTCAAGTTGGCGTACTTGATGCTGGCACCCAGCTGTAGTTGATATTACTATACAGCATGGATTATCAGTCAAGCATATTTTATTGCTGCTTGCATGGTATGTGTTTTTCAAGCTGCTTGGCATAGGTGTGTGCAGGCCAGTTTTGTTAAGACATATACTTGGTATATTCAAATGAATTGAAAAAAGTTATCATGAAATCGCCACCATGACTGACAACTCTGTAAAACTATAAACTATAATCATCACAAAGATAGATAAGATATAAAACTTTGGTGAGACATCAACTGGCACCTTCATTCCCAGTATATAGCTTAAGTATGTCAATTATTTGTCATAATGTATGCTTATTATGAATATTCAATTGACAGGTGTATTGATGACTCGACCAGTCAAGGAAAATAGGATCACTATCATAAGAAACAAAATGTTTCATTTCAACATATTCTTTACCAAAAAAACCCAACTAAATCATTCAGACTTGGTGTATCTAGGAGAATATATTATTCATATGGTTGCTTTGCCAAACAAATAATGCTATTTTTGGCTTCTGACAGCACCAGACTACTATACACACACAGATAACTGTACTTACTTTCTTAGCAGACATCCTCTATGATAGAAGGCTACAGCATTAAATGGATCTAGATGTATAGCAATGGATAGATCCTGAATAGCGCTAGTGAATGATCCCTGCTTCGCCAACGCTCGTCCACGGAATGTCCTAGCTAGCGCATTGTTTGGTTCCTGTATCAACATCTCAGTAAAGTCCTTAACAGCAGCAATCCAGTTCCTAAGCAAACACAAACATGACTGACATGACTGACTTCCCTCTTTTGAGAAATTGATGTGCAATGGAAAACAAATTTACATTTTGAGTAACACGATGTTTAGTATACGGTACATACCCTTGGTTGAAATGGTATTCTCCATGTTTGTATATGGCTTCAGTTTTACTAGGCATCAGTTTAGTAGCTTCTCGATAATCTTCTAACGCCAGCAGGATTTCACCTCTCTGCATTGGAGGAAACAAATAACAAACATATGCTAAGGATTTTATAATATCTTTGGCAGATCTGTCAAATTAGAAGTGTATATACCAAGTTTGAATCAACATCGCAATTTAGTTCATCAGTAGAGAAATGCTTGTGAATTCGGGTACATACCCATGTATATGCATGTACACACAATATTCTATAATTTATTTACTATTTGGAATATATTTTGTTATTACGGGAAAATAACCATATGTACTGGAACAATGTCACTCTTACCTTTTCATACATTTCAGCTCTTCTGTAATACGCCTCATAATCATCTGGTTCAAGTTTAAGTGCTTGAGTGAAATTGACAATAGCCATTGTTATATCACCTTGTTTTCGAAATATCTCGGCTCTAAAAATGAGA